AAGGTTCTCATTATCCATCCTGTCATTTTTCTAGCGATGCTTGATACAATGTTATGGTCCTTGAAGGTGAGATCCTCCGACATGATCACTCCCAGGTCTTTGACTTGGTTTTCGCTCTATTTTGTGGCCAAAAATTGTTTTGTACTCGATAAGATTTAATTTCCTCATGTTTACCATATCTGATAATGAAATTTCTCATCGTTGAACTTAATTTTGTTTTCTGCAGCCCACTGAAAGATTTGGTTGATGTCTGCCTGGAGCTTTGCAGGGGTCTGCAATGGAAGACACTGTCATGCAGATTCGGGTGCCACCCTGCAAAGAAGACACGTGCTGTGGCTGACATCCTTGTCTATGTCGGATATAAGGATGAGGAACAAGATGGGAGCGAGTACTGTGCCTTGTGGAACAGAGCTTTTCACCGTAGCTGCCTCGGAACTTTACTCTTTGACGACTCCTCTGTGTTCTTTTAGTGAGGAAATTATAGATCCATCGACCGACTTTTCCTGTTATTCCTTTAGCACGCATTTTGTGCGCTATTACGCCATGGTCACACTTGTCAAAGGGCTTTTGCCAAAGTCTGTATAATTACATCTGCATTCTTTTTGTCTTCTAGTGCATTTAGGACCTTGTCGTAGTGGTCCAATAGTTGAGACAGACGGGAGCGACCTGTTCTAACCCATGTTCCCCCTGGGTTGTGTAACTGATGGGTTTCTAGATGCGTGGATCTTGCTTCTTAGGACCCTTTCAAAGATTTTTATGATATGGGATGTTAGTGCTATTGGTCTGTAGTTTTTTGCTTTTTTGTTTTACTGCCCCCTTTGTGGAGTGGGGCTATGCCCTGTTGTTTTTAGTAACTGTGGGACACCCCGTGTCCAGCTCCCTCTCCATAGGATGGAAAAGGCTCGTGATAGGGGCTTCTTGCAGTTCTTGATGAACACAGAGTTCCATGAGTCTGGCCCTGGGCAGAGTGCATGGGCATGTCATTTATCGCCTGTTCGAAGTCATTTTGGCGTCAGGATAACATCGGATAGGCTGTGTTAATCAAATTTTGTGGCTCTCTCTAAAAAATTCATTTTGATCTTCGACTCTCAGTCTGGTTAGCGGCTTGCTAAAAACTGAGTCATATTGGGACTTGAGTAGCTCACTCATTTCCTTGTTGTCATCTGTGTAGGACCCATCTTGTTTAAGTAGGGCCCAATACTGGACGTTGTTCTCGTTTTGATTTGGCATAGGAGAAGAAATACTTTGGGTTTCTTCGATTTCATTTATGGCTTTTAGTTCTTCCCCGATTTCCTGACTCCTAAAGGATTTTTTAGCTTAAGTTCGATGCTTGCTATTTCTCTGACCAGTGTCCCCCCACGCATTTCAGATATTTGACCTCTTTAGCCGCTCTGTTATTCTTTTTTTCCCTCGCCTTAAAGGGAGCGCCTGTCTCTTTCTGTTTTACATCTACTCCTCCTTTTTCTTAGAGGAATAAGCCTTGTGCATACACGAGTGCTACCGAGTTAATCTGTTCTAGGGATAAGTTGGGGTCTGTGTTGCTTTGTATATCTTCCCACTTATATCGGTTAGGACTTGGTTACTTGGTCCCCTTTATGTTTTTGTTATTGAAGTTGAATTTTGGGGAATGCTCCTTCGTGACTAATCTCATTATGTCGGTCTGGGCTCCGCGCATACATGACTGAACCTCAATTATGTTGTGATCTGAGTATATTGTTTTGATATGGTGATATTTCTTATCAGATCAACATTGGTTTGTGAAGAGAGGTCTAGTGTATTCTCCATCTAGTAGGCTCTATTATTTTCTGGTTTAAATTGAATTTTGTGCAGAGATTTAAAAGCTCGCGTGAGTGTGAGTTTTCATCAGAGCTGCCCCTGGTGTTATTACGCAACAATTTTATTTGCTATATTCCTCCATTTTGGGTGCCTTAAGTTGAAATCCCCCGGGAGCAAGATGTTGGGTGCAGGAGCTGGAAGGTTTTCCAGACAGTGGTCAATTTTTAACAGCTGTTCCTGGAATTGCGGGGATTTTTGCATCCGGAGGCTTGTAGACTATCACAATGACTGGGTTTTGGGTTCTCGACCTTTACTGCTAAAACTTCCACTACATCATTTGAGGCATTTGGGCAGTTCTGTGCAAACAAGTGACTCTGCAAGTACGGGCCAACCCCCCCCTTTTGCCTGTTCACCTGTCACATCTGTATAGGTTGTAACCTGGGATCCATATTTCGTTGTCTAAGTGATCCTTATGTGGGTCCAGTGAAAGCCGCGAACATTTGCCTTGCCTCTGCAAGCAGCCCCACGGATGAAAGGTTTTTTGTTGTTTGTTGCTGGCTTTAGACCCTGTATATTTGCAAAGAAGAATTTTTATCGGACTGGTGGTATTGTTGGTACTGGGGGGGATTTTTTTCCGCATTAGTATCTGTATCTGTTGGTTTGGAGTGGGGCCATCGACTGTGGTTCCCACTCCAGGAATGACTGGATTTGGTGTACGATTTCTGCCATTTCCTGCCAGTTTTTTTTCCTTCCTGGCACTAAAAAACCTCTCCCTCTTGAGTGGCTGTGGCTACCCAGGTTTTCCCATGGCCTGGATGTTTTGTATCTTTTTGTCCCTTTAGATGGTATCCTGCAATTTAAGTTATAGCACAGCCCTTTCCTGTACTGAAGAGGTACACAGTTCAGGGTGAAAAAGCTTACAGGAAGGGAGTTTGCATTTTCCTGTTGTCATATGGGCATGGCATTTCCTAGGGTGGACATAGTTGCACGTCCCATCTGTTTTTCCAGATTTCCCATGCCAGCAGATACCGAGTGCATAGTAATGTGCACAGGCTTGGTTTCCGTTTGCCTTGGGTTTCTGTGACTGTATTCCCTGTTGGTGCATGTTTCCCTGTCTTACTTCTATCCTCCCTAGCACCAACAAGGAGCTCCCACCATTTGTTTTGGTAATATATCCTCACTATTGCTAGTGGAGTCCTCTTGTTTGCTATTTCCTGCGGTATTTCTAGTTTGCAATATTGGTTTTATCTTATCTTTGACTACACTTGTTTTCCCTACTATGGCTCCTGTCCCCTATGCGGTCATTCATATGTATTCCTTCCTGCATATAGTTCCCGACTACCTGGACAAAATCTCCAGCTTCACCATTACTGTCTCCCAGGACAGCATCTCCAGCTTCCCCATTACTGTCTCCCAGGACAGCATCTCAGCTTCACCATTACTGTCTCCCAGGACAGCACCTCCAGCTTCACCATTACTGTCTCCCAGGACAGCACCTCCAGCTTCCCCATTACTGTCTCCCAGGACAGCACTATCAGCCCCCCATTTACTGACTACCAGGACATCATCTCCAGCCTTACGTTTCTGACTACATGGCCAGTATCAAGGGCAGTACCATTCAGCCCGGACTTTTATGTTCCCATCTGTTGTAGAAAGCTTCCAGGTTTTCTATGAAAGCAGCTTTGATGTGACCTCTTTTAATACCCTGTGATTTTAGTCCACGATTTATCTCATTTGGGCATACCCAAAAACACTTCCCTGTTTTATACTGCTTGTAGCTAGTTCTTGGATATCTGCACAAGGGGCGTGACACCAATTTCCACAGAAATGACAATTTATGCATGTGGAAGCCCGTTTGTTTGACTGACCACAGACTACACACAGCTTCATAATGATTTGAATGGTTTATTTACTGCAATTTCTACTAGCAACCTCTTGAATATTCTATTAATAACCTGCTAGGTGGTGCACAACGAAACCGTTTGAAACCAGTCCAGGGTTCGGACCAGTCAAGGGTTCGGACCAGTCAAGGGTTCGGACCAGTCTATCTGATCTGATCAGTGGGTCACTTATTTAAACCATACTGGTCGGTGATTTGAGCTAACACATGAAGGATCTACTGGAAATTATCTACCCGAGTAATATGTGATTTGATTGATACAAAAGTATAACTTGCGTGTTGAAGAGCCGGTGACTGCTGGCACTCCTACAATGACGAACGGTCGAGCCTCCACCTTTGTTTATCAGTCGCTGTATCTAGCTTCTCTATTTTTTTTTTTTTTTTTTTTTTTTCCGTCTCCACCACAATAAATGCTATATTATCACTATAGTTGACTGGTGCAAATTTTGGAGGAAGGGCGCTTTTTTCTGTAGTAATAATTGCTTCTCGTTGTGTATATTGCGACCGCTGGTAACTACAGGTTATATGAAATTCACAGTAACGTCTGGTATTTCAAGAAAAAGAAACTAATGAAAGTCACTCCACTTCATAAGTACCATTATAATACTGGTTAGTTGCTTACTACAACACTGTATTCTGCTATTCACTGGTATCACTAGATTATATGCGAGTACACTAGCAAGCCAGGAAGATTATTAAAAACAGCTGACCTGTGGTAAGTTTCTGGCGACTTCTGGCACCTGCCTCTATAGGCTTATCACTTCATTTACAAAATCACCTGTTTTCAAATGACACTTTAGCCTTTATCATCAATATACTAGGGAGCCACTGTAGTATACACTATACACTATGTATACTCAATGCTTTCAGGGAGACTTTCTTTCCTCTGACACAAAGTTCAATATTATTATTTTTCCACACGGGACAGGCCTATGATTCCCCTCTGGCAGTAAACTCTGCTAGGAAGTGCACACTAATTCTCCTTTTTTTACTCAGTATATAATGTTTTCCGCCCAAGATTGGTTCCAGGCGCTAGAGGGATGTATCGTATAGGATTGATGACACAAATTAAAGTTCTAGCACGTAAGAGCGACCGTGAAAACACCAGAAAAAACCGGGAGCACAACGAGCGTGAGCACGAGCGTGAGCACCAGCTGCAAATTTTTTTAAGATAATGCATTCAATGCCAATCAGACAGTATCTGCTACTGTAGTACATACTATTTTTAGTATTCACTACAGTAGCTATACTTAATATTTTATTTCTGCATAACTTATGAACCCTATACTGTACTTGAGAGCAGATTCAAGAACATGTAGCTCACCTGAGCATCTCGTAAGTGAGCAGGTAATCCAGTATCCTCAATGTAGCCCTGTCCACCAAAACACTCCAAGCCTTCAGATGTTATGGTCATAGCCATTTTAGCTGTGAAGAACTTCATTATGGGAGTTATGATACGGAGGACAAGAGACTCTTCATGAGTGGCCACACCTGCCTCCTCCCGACCAAGAAGCCTTGAGGAAAAAAAAAATAACATTAAGTGGACTATGAACCTCCCTGATGCCAGACTGGTTATTCAGGAAGCAAACAGGCACAACAAGCTGTACTTGGAAACTGCTCTGACTGCCACAACGAACATCATCACAGGGAAACAAGGTTTATTCTTAATCTCGGAAGCAGTGGCCAAAATTATTAAACAGAGAGTTAGAGGCATCGGGAAGATGGAGGGAATATTTTGAGGAATTGTTAAATGTTGATGAAGATACGAAGCTGTGATTTCATGTATAGGGCAAGGAGGAATAACATCTTATAGGAGTGAGGAAGAATCAATTGTGAGTGTGGGGGAAGTGCATGGGGCAGTGGGTAGAATGAAAGGGAGTAAAGCAGCTGAGATTGATGGGATAAAGCAGGTGGGGATATAGTTTTGGAGTGGTTAGTGCTTTTATTTAATAAATGTATGGAAGAGGGTAAGGTGCCTAGGGATTCGTAGAGAGCATGCATAGCTCCTTTGTATAAAAGCAAACAGGAATAAGAGAGTGTAAAAATTATAGGGGAATAAGTTTTTTGAGTATACCTGATAAAGTGTATGGTAGAGTTATTATTGAAAGAATTAAGAGTAAGGCAGAGAACAGGATAGCAGATGAACAAGGAGGCTTTAGGAAGGGTAGGGGGTGTGTAGACCAGGTGTTTGCAGTGAAACATATAGGTAAACAGTGTTTAGGCTTTTGTGGCATTTATGGATTTGGAAAGGCATATGACAGGGTGGATAGGGAAGCAATGTGGTAGATGTTGCAAATGTATGGAATAGGATGTAGGTTACTGAAATCAGTGAAGAATATGTAGGAGTGAGGGAGATTATTTCTCAGTAAAAGTAGGCCTTAGACAAGGATGTGTGATGTCACCTTGGTTGTCCAATATACTTATAGATGGAGCTGTAAGAGAAGTGAATGCTTGGGTGTTGACAAGAGGTGTGGGGTTAAAAGATAAAGAATCTAACACAAAGTGGGAGTTGTCATAGTTGCTCTTTGCTGATGACACTGTGCTTTTGGGAGATTCTGAAGAGAAGTTGCAGAGGTTGGTTCATGAGTTTGGTAGGGTATGTAAAAGAAGGAAATTAAAAGTGCAAACGTATAGGAAAGAGTAAGGTGATAAGCGTAACAAAAAAATTAAGTAACGGAAGATTGGATATCAGATTGGAGGGAGAAAGTATGGAGGAGGTGAATGTATTCAGATATTTGGGAGTGGACGTGTCAATAGATGGGTCTATGAAAGATGAGGTGAATCATAGAACTAATGACGGGGAAAAAGGTAAGTGGTGCACTGAGGAGTCTGTGGAGACAAAGAACTTTATCCATGAAAGCAAAGAGGGGAATGTATGAGAGTATAGTTATACCAATGCTCTTATATGGGTGTAAGGCATGGGTGGTAAATGTTGCAACAAGGAGAAGGCATGAGACAGTGGAGATGTCATGTCTGAGGGCAGTGTGTGGTGTGAATATAATGCAGAGAAACCATAGTTAGGAGATTAGAAGGAGGTGCAGGATTACCAAAACTATTATCAACAGGGCTGAGGAGGGGTTATTGAGATAGTCTGGACATGTAGAGAGGATGGAATGAAATAGAATGACTTTGAGAGTGTATAAATCTGTAGTGAAGGGAAGGCAGGGTAGGGGTCGGCATAGGAAAGGTTGGAGGGAGGGGGTAAAAGAGGTTTTGTGTGTGAGGGGCTTGGACTTCCAGCAAGTGTGCGTGAGCATGTTAGATAGGAACAAATGGAGACAAATGGTTTTTAGGACTTGATGTACTGTTGGAATTTAAGCAAGGTAACATTTATGAAGGGATTCAGGGAAACCGGCAGGCCAGACTTGAGTCCTGGAGTAGGAAGTACAGTGCCGGCACTCTGAAGGAGGGGTGTTAATGTTGCAGTTTTACAACTGTAGTGTGAGCATGCCTTTGGCAAGACAGTGATGGAGTGAATGATGATGAAAGTTTTTCTTTTTCGGGCCACGCTGTCTTGGTGGGAGACAACCGATGTGTAAATAAATATAAAAAATAATGTATACAGGAGAAGGGGGTTACTAGCCTCTTGCTCCCGACATTTCAGTTGCCTCTTACGACACGCATGGCTTACGGAGGAAGAATTCTGTTCCATTTCCCCATGGAGATAAGAGGAAATAAACAAAAACAAGATCTAGTAAGAAAATAGAAGAAAACCCAGAAGGGTGTGCATATATATGCTTGTACATGCAAGTGTAGTGTGACCTAAGTGTAAGTAAAAGTATCAAGATGTACACCTGAAATCTTGCATGTTTATGAGACAAAAAAAAGACATCAACAATCCTACCATCATATAAGACCATTACAGGCTTACATTTTAAACTCACTTGTCAGGACAGTAGTACCTCTCTGGGTGGTTGCTGTTTACCAACCTACTCCCTTATATACAGTATACATACATATAGTAAATACATATGCATATACAGTACCGTACTTCAAAAACTCTATATACAGTAGGGCCCCACTTACATGGCAGGTTAGGTTCCAGGCTACCACCGGAAAGCAGAATGCCATTTTTTTTCCACTTATAAATGATATAAATACCAGATAACAAGTTTACACTAACATATATTTAGTTAGCAATAGAACTAGGCATTAAAAACAATAAAAAGTAAAATACACATGCAGTACACTTATTACTTACCTTAAAATATTTGTAGTCTTAACCCTTTCAGGGTTGGTGCCGTACTAGTACGGCTTGCATGCCAGGGTTGGTGCCGTACTAGTATGCATAAATTCTAGCTCCTTCAAATCTAGCGAGAGAAAGCTGGTAGGCCTATATATGAAAGAATGGGTCTACGTGGTCAGTGTGCGCAGTACAAAAAAAAAATCCTTCAGCACGCAGTACATGAGAAAAAAAAACTCTGACCGTGTTTTTGGTTTAAACAGTGACTTTGCAGTGCATTTTCGTGTGCTATTTATTGTTGTATTCTAGTTTTCCTGGTCTCATTGTATAGAATGGAAAACATATTATGGAAATTGAGATGATTTTGATTGGTTTCACAATGAAAAATACCTTAAAACTGATCTCAACGTAGCAGAAATGTTTGATATTTGCCAAAGTTCAAAAGTAAGCAAATCATGCCATGCGTCCAATACACGTCAACTGGTGAGTCTAATATTCTTTCACAAGTGTGCTGATATTATTTATACCATTTCTACACTAATGCAGTAGTCTGCATAACAGTAAATCTTCTATTTTTTGTGAGAATAAAAATTCAAAGTGGAAAACAAAAGAAATGTAACAGAGGCCTGGGGACATGACTAATGAACAGAGGAAATGTTATTTTAGTGCTAGAATTGTCTGTCTTGTTTATTCTGGACCCTATTTGGAAATTGGCATCTTTTGAAATTTGTGTGAAATTGGCAAAATTGCCATTTTCTGACCACTTTATTGGATAGTTGAAATCGGTAAATGGGTGGTTTCTTGTACCCATTCAATAGAAAAAATGGAGCTCTAGCAAAATAGTTATGATTTTTGTCAACTGGTACATTGGAACTGGTCAAAAATAGGGCTCAAAGTGGGCAAAATTGCCGATGCGTAAACACTGTCGAGACCGCTAACTTCACAAGAGCATAATTCCGTAAGTTTTCTATCAAATTTTATACTTTTGGTGGCATTATGATCGGGAAAAGATTGTTTATCATTTCAAAAAAAAAAAAAAAAATTCCAAAAATTTCTGACCCTGAGAACAAGTTTAGGAGAGGACCTGCTGACCCTGAAAGGGTTAATGTAGGGTGAGAGGTGAGTAGCATTTATTGTAAGAAGTCAGGTGTGATAGGTATGGTAGTCAGGTGTGGTAGGTATGGCCACCCCACCCACATGTAATATACATTTAAAGTGCCCTAGAGTGATAGAATGAATGTACAGTACACTCATGATTTACCTTAAAATATCTGTAGTTTTAATGTAGGTTGAGAAGTGAGTAATATTTATTTTAAGATGTCAGGTGTGGTAGGTATGGTAGGTATGGTAGGTGTGGTAGGTATGGTAGGTATGGTAGGTGTGGTAGGTATGGCCACCCAACCCACATGAGCACCCTAGGGCAATAAAATGCATATACAGTACACTCATTTCTTACCTTAAAATATCTGTAGTCTTAATGTAGGGTGAGAAGTGAGTAAACGAGATAAAACAAATAAATGAGAGAGAGAAATAACGAGTAAATGAGAGAGGACAGAGATGCAGAATATGTAAACAAACAGACGAACACATCTGTTTATGGTTCATACACGTTCATTTCCCTGTTTGTGAGTGAACAAGTTTTTATTCAGGTACGGATACACATAAATACAGTTACACAGATTATTATACATAGTAGCATATGCATAGATTACCTAGGATAATCCAAAAAAAAGTCAGACAGAGTGACTTATTTCCATATTTGTGAAGCTTATGCTATAATACAAACACCTTACATTGTGTACAAGTTGTCTCAACGTTGGTACAGTAGAATAAAATAGAGAAACACTCCCATTCTCATGTAAAACACCATTTTTAAAAGGAATGATGCTCTGGGTGAAGGCATATGAAAGGAATAATTTTCTACCGATACTCCCAGTAATACTATTGTGTGCACATTATTTTGGTGTTGAACTACAGAAAACGATATTCTTGCCGACACTCCTGGAGTAACCACACCTGTAGAGGGTTTCAGGGGTCAATGCCCCCCCACAGCCTGGTCTGAAACCAGGCCACATGGTGGATAAGGGTGTGATCAACAAGGCTGTTACTGCTGGCCACATGCAAACTGATGTATGAACAACAGGTACTGACTTTAGGTGCCCATCCAGTGCTTTTTTGAAGACAGCCAGGGTTCTATTGGTAATCCCCCTTATGTATGCTGGAAGGCAGTTGAACAGTCTTGGGCCCCTGACACTTACTGTGTTGTCTCTCAGTGTACTCGTGGCACCTCTGCTTTTCATTGGGGGAATGTTGCATCTCCTGCCGAGTCGT